AAACAGTGAATTAACAAATGCTAAAGGAAAATTAAGAGATTCTTCTATGGAGCTCAGACATTGGAAGACCTTAAAACTGTAAGATACTGGTGGAAGCACCTCGCTGTAAGACTGGAAACATACCAATCAATGATTAAAATGACCTCCTCATTGGCTCAGTGTTTATTCTGGCTGCACAGCTAATACTGTAGACATGATCAGTTCATACCTGTGGCGACAGAGTCAAATGTTGGGATACTACTGAGGATAAGGTCTTATCAAACACAGGCACTAAGATGTGCCCTCAGTCACAGGCAGACTCCCTGAGCAGATCAGATTTGAAAGAGTTTAACAGATAAAGCAATACCCATCATATTGAGGCTGCTTCTATATTATTTTCCTGGAAAAGGACATTTAAAGAGCCTTTCAAATACACAGCACACATAAGCTGAGACTTTAACACAGCAAGGCAAGTAAGAACAATAATCTTCCCCTCTTGCACACAGGCATTAGAATACCCATAAGCTACAGCAACAGGCATTTTGTGAATGCTATCAGCCAAGGGCTCTTCTTTTCTGTGCAGCATTAAAATGCATTTGCCCCACAATACTCATCCCCCAAACTGCAATGATGGCACCTCTGCTAGAGCCACTGCAGAGCACAAGGCCACGATGGGGCAACCCAGCTCGAGAGGACGGCCACAGGTGGTTTGAAGAAAGGCACTGGGCACTCACTGTATTGCTCGCATCCACTGCTGCACAGGCAGAGGCTGAACATTGCAGGGACACAAAGCCACAAGGCAATCTCAACCCACAAGGCAAGTTTGGCAAAAGCTTCTCCATCAACACCACAATGGAGGAACACAGTACTTAGCATTTAATATTATTCCATTTATGTTGTTTAATGCTATCATGATCATAAGCATGCTGTGAAATAGAAGCAAAAAGCAATATTCTTTAATGCTGTAAGCATAAAATAACATGGCTATTTTGTACCCATAATACACATACTGTGTTTATACCACCGCACTGAAGAATCTTAGGTCTATGAAATATAGTTCCTTCTAGTTATAGTTAAACAAGCCATCAAAAATTCATGGCATTTATCTACCACAACTCTACCTGTTCAGATTCTCTGGGATCTGAACTATTTTCATTGCTTAATTTTTTTCAGAAAGCAATTTTATAAGCACTCATAGACTTGTCCAATGTTTTTGAGGAATACAGGCATTTATTTCTACACTCTCCAAAGAGGAAAACTGAAACATTTTATATGAGACATTGTCACTGAATAGATATCAGTTATTCCTTCTGAGGGAGAAAAATCCAGCAATGTGAACTACTCAGCACCATAGCTGGGTTTTGCCTTTTGTCTTACTGACAGCATCAGTGACAGAATGATAGCCCCCCCCAAAAAAGAGAGATAGATAAAAGGACACAGATATACTGCAGCAACATTAAGTACACACAAGTTATTTATGCGTTGTGAGCATAGGATGATCTGGACTGACACAATCAGGAAAAGGCAATGCATGAAGGGTTTTTCTCTTTCTTATTAATTGATTATTCTCTTTGCTACCAGAGGGAATTCAGGCCAATACTGCTGCTTTCCTAGGAGTTACATCTAAATTAAAGGAGGTGGGAGACACAAAAGTAATTCAAAAATCCCCCCCCCGGCAGGGGGTTTAGAACTAGATAATCTTAAGGTCCTTCCCAACCCAAACCATTCTATGATTCTATGATGTACCTCCTTTTGTTTTTCTTAAGCATTGCACATTGATGCTGGTTTAATAAGAATGTCTTAGGTGCTGCCTAACTGAAAAATCAACAAGGACATCTCACAGAAAAGCCCCGCTTCTGCAGCTGCTAAATGCCAGCATCTTGCAAAAACGTGTAACATTCCACCTTCCCAACAGTCCGATGCATTAACAAATTATGCAGCAATCAAATATAATTGAACTTTCTTTTATAATAGAAAGGTGTGTTACAGATGAGGACTCTCCTCCCCATAAAAAACCCTTTGCTCCTTCAAAGTTGCATTTTTAATGATCGGAACGTTTCTCCCTTTCCCTCCCCCCATCTCCTGTCTGAAGCATCCTAAGTAATGGCAGAAGATCCATATGTATTTTACAGCACAGGAAGTTTGGGGGGGGGGGGGGGGGGAGAGGAGGAGGACTGGCAAAAGTAGTTATCAACACATCACACACAAGCCAAGGCAGACATCTACTTCCTGGACACATTCATGCCTGTAACATTCCCAAACTGCTGAGTGCACATACATACAGCTGCCTTCCCACAGTAATTCAAAGCTCCTGCCCTCTCCCATATTGCTGATGGCACAACAGCAGCACTGACAATTTCCATGTTTATGCAGTATTTCTGCACCAAGAAATACAAGAGGGAAATATATATGTATTTTAAAGAAACACGTCTCCTCTTATTGCTAAGAGGACTAAGAACAGAGGAAGCCCTTTTGAACAGGCTTGCTCAAAGCTGGCAGCTGGCAGTGGATGGCAGATGGACATTTTCTTTCAGTCACTGTTTCCCCCACCAAGGCAGCAAGAGAGATGTTGCCAGGCCGCCTCTCTTTCAGCCTACAGCCAAAGATAAATTGTAGAGAGGTGGGTGAAGAGCAGCGCATCAAAGCAACTGATAGAAACCTGGCTCCTTTCTGAAATACCTCTTCTCCTGCTTCTGCTTAAGAATATGCTGCATAGCAGAGTGCATATTTTCTGATTTATTTATAAGTTGCACCCTTTTACTAGCTATTTTTAAATAAGTATCTAAGCAATCTGCACAATCCCTAAAATCGAGTACAATAATTACATGTATTGTAAGTACCAATTTAAAGGTGGTGTTACCAGTTATGGTAAACAATTTCAACAGAAATCACCATAATGAAAAATTCTTGTATTGGCAGTAGGATTTTCAAAATATTTGATATAAAGCAGAGTTCAGCTTCTCAAATACAAAACAGATACTGCTGGGCTTTTCAGAAATTATTTGATGGATGAACAGAGCTCTCCAGGGCACTTACAGGTGCTCTGAAAAATACTGGCTGGACAGAGGGAAGCAGATTTATTTTTAAACATCTACTGGCACTGAAATTAACCTCACTCAGTGCCTGGCATCAAAATATACTCAGCAGCCTGCACTCTTCCAAAAATCTTTTGATATATGAACTTTTCTGACAATGACTGTGGCAAACAGGCTCTTATGGACATTTCGTCACATCATCTACTTCCCTCTCCTCCAATCCCAGACACGGGAATGCAGCAAAACAAGCAAGAAATATACATCCTCCTTCCTGGCACACTTCCGTAGGTCTGCTGCCTGTCGAACTCCTGGAGCAGTGGGTGAGGAAGCGGCAGAAAAGCACCCTTGCACACCCTGGCCATTCCTGATCCCCTGCCCATGGGTGTGCAAGGTGCAGGGGAGCACGGAGAGGGAAACATACCACCGAGCAGCAGTGCCCCTTCTTTGCAGTGCAACCTTGTGATCCTTTCACTCTCAGTTCAGTTCATCTCAAGCATCAAGGTCAACACAGCAATGATGGTTCTCTGCTTAAAGCATACTTGGAAGTACTAAGCAAGGCAGTGACAGCCATCCCTGAAGGTATACCACAGCGAACTGAAGGGGAAATAATCTCTGGAACCCTGAAGACTGAGAGATGTTTACCCAGAAAACATTTTATGACCCTTCCTCCAAAAGGCCCAATTCGCCCTTTTCTTCCCCCTGCAATTAAACAGTACTTACATGACATGAGCCACTGATTTCAAACATTTCCTTGCTTGATTAAGGCTTACATATCAGAAACTGATTTGTTCTAAGTTAGTGATAGGGCTCAGATAGATTAATTTAGCTAACTTTCATATATGCCTTGACACAGACAAATGGATTGTTTTGGTCTTATTAATATCAGCTATTATCTTTATTTCTGCTTTGACTCATATTCTGAATCTGAGTCAAGACTTCTTGACTGCAGAGTATGACTGCCTGAGAAATTAGTCTTTACAATATAATGGAACACGGTATGTGTTTGCCTCAGTCTGATAATGAGTCTGATAATGACTATTATCAGAGAGTAGAAAGCAAGCAGATTTCAAGTTTTCAAATGATAGAAAGGGATAAACCAAAGGAAGCAGGTATCCTCAGCTACTCAGTGGCTAAAGGATTTCCACTTTCACACTGCAGATATTAATACATTTGTTTCAGGGTATTCAGATGAACTCAGATTCAGTAAAAGACTTTGAAAGGTTTTTTAATAAAATGTAAACTTCTAACAAAATCTGACCTGATTGATAGCCATATTTAAAGAGTTTCCATTACATACAGCATATATTGCATTTATACACCTTTTAGGTAGCCTACAGTTTTTATACCTGTGATTGTTTTTTTATACAGTGATTTTATACTTGATATCTTCAAAATATTATCCTAACAAACAGAGGGTCCTCAGGGAAATTCTCCCATGTTGCATGCAAGTTAAAACACTTCTGCAAAGGCAGTAGGACATTTCACAGAAGACACCTGCAACAGGATCTTGTAGCCATCACACCAACAAATACACAGAAAAAGAAACCCAGAACTTAAGACAGTGACTAGATATTTGGAAATCTTATACAGTAAATTTTACTGGTCTCAAACTTACAAAGAAGCTCATTAAAAACAACAAACTTGGGGTTTAGTACAATGAGGAAATACTAGCTACCAAACCATAAAGATTTTCTTTAACGGGCATCAAAAGTAAATTATGTTTACTAGTGAAAAGGACTACCATACATACACTTTTCATGGATAGCATTTTGATATAAACATTAATGTACTGAATTTGCCAATAAAGCGGTTTTTTTTTCTTAGTAAAAAAATGAAAAGTTAGAAGACATGAAACTCATTTGCCTTGGAAGAGTGAAACAAATGACTTGAAAATTCAGTTCTCCTTACAAGAAAACAGGTGAGTTTGCATTAGCAGCAAAAGCAAATCAAATTTAAAAATCAAAGCATAAAACAGGAAATTCTTACTTTCACTTCCACTGTCTTCCCACCTTGCTCGATATGCCTCTCAAGATATTCAGAAGACAATAGGTCACTGCAAGAAGAAAAAAAGAACCATAAGCCTCGCGCATGTCTTCTTGCACTCCCTCTCAGCAAGCACTGATTAAACATTTACATTTGAAAAGGGCAAAACCTGCAGGATACTTTTCCTAAAATGTCCATAAAAATCACTGAAACAACCACCTCCAACGGAGTCACACAGTCCATGGGATACGTTCATTTTTAATACCAGAAGGCAGAACAAGAAAAACTGAGGGTGGGGCTCCTTCACAGAAGGTTCAAACCAGCCCGTGATAACAATTTTAAGTCAGAAGACTTTTCTATTTGTAAGTAAAAGCAGTACATAAGTTAGGTGAATTTTAAAGAAAGAAAACAGCATAAAGATGAGAAAACATTTGAAGTCACTTCTGCAGTAGGCTGTATCTGAGGTAAAATGGCAGCTGTGTTCGGCAGACTTCTAAGGACACAATGGCACACAAGGTCATGAAATGACCTTGTAGTAGCAATATGGTGAGATCAGTATCACAGTAAATGGGCAGAGAGAGCCACCAGCCACAGAAACTGCACCACACCATAAGCTCACAGCCAGCTCCACCCAGTGTAGGCAGGCGGCAGGTGCCATGCTGTCCTTGGGCAGCCAGGGCAGTCACCCACTGCGCTTCCCCTTGCAGCACTGTGGCTTCAGCACAGGAAAATGCTCTGGGTGACAGCAAACCCAGACTCAAAAGTACACAAGGCTTTCGAACAAACACTGAAGAGAAGAAACAATCAGACCTGAGGCAAATTTATATAAGTTAAATGCACACAGCATTTATTACGAACTTCAGCGCTAAACCAGTCAAATCCTCTCATACCCAAGTTATTGTCTAGGAAAGCACATCATCTACATCAGAAATTTCACTAAATATGTTCAAAGATTTCAAAATTTTACCAATTATTGTATACATCTGTGTAAAGATTTGATATTGTCCGACCCAAAAGTCAATCAAACTGGAAAAGATGAAAAACTGGTAAAGAAAACATGACAACAGTCACATTGACTGATGGGACAAGAGGCCGCGAGCACAAAACCTTCTCAGCAAAAGAGTCAAACTTGAATGTTTATCCTTCAAACACCCAGGCTAGAAGCGAGCTGACCAGCTATGGGAGGGCAGGGAAGCAGAGTGGACTCAGGGCAGCAGCTGCTTGGCTTTGGAGCTTTGCCCTGGCTAAACAGGCAGCAAGGCCATGGACTGTTTTGCTCACATAGACACTGGTGACAGCCTAGAGCAGGACAAGGTTGATAGTGTGGGTCCTTCCATATCGGCCCTACAAACTGGCAGTTTGGTATTTGCATTAATAACCCAGGCACAAAACCCAGGAGTACTCTAATAAAATGTGCTGATAATGCCAAGTTGGAAAGCATGGAGAATAAAGACAAAGATTGAAAAAATTCCCACACAAAAGAACTGGATGATCTTCATGACTGGGTATTAGAAAAAGGATCAAATTCAATTGTACAAAGACCAAATATATACACTTAAGGGCTGGAGGGAATTTCTATTATGTTGTTTTGGAGGGCCTAATTTAAGAAGAAGAAAGACATGACTTCACTTGTTTCTGGCAAAATGATTTGCCAGATCAATAGGGTGCCTTCCTGAAAAACACAGCTGTCATCCCAGAGTACATCAAAGAAGATGTATTTCCAGTCAAACTGAGATAAGATTAATACCACTGTCCAAATGAGACCTCTTTTCAAATACTGAGGACAGGTACTGGACAGCTTTGCTTAGAAAATTCAATTACCTGGAAGCACAGAGAGACTCCCAAGGTAACCAGGGAATGGAAAGCTCCTGAAATCTAGCAAAAAATTGAAATGTAAGGGGATCTGAATGCACCACAGTTTATACACCAAGATGTAAACTAGCTAATTAGGCTATAAAAGATGCTGGCAGAACATTGAATGCACAAGCACAGTCAATGAGTCAATACATGTTGAAAGAAAGACTTTGTACCTGAGTGTAAGTGACAGAGGCAACAAAAAGAGGGACGCTAATAAATTTCTGAATAGGAGAAGCCATGGGAAACGGGTCTATAGAGGTGGGGTCCCCTCAGCCACAGTGAATTCACAACTGGTTGTTGATGAAAGCAAGTTTCAGTGCCCCCTCAGCAGCAAGTGTTAAACCTACCTGTGTCAGCACAAACACTCATCAAAATACTCTCAGTGTCAGAACTAACACTCATCAAAATACTTTTCGTGTCAGCACTGGCACTCATCAAAGTACATTTGGAAGGGTGCAACAAGCCTATGGTTTTGCTGCATTAGGTAATTGAAGTCCCTTGTGAAGAGGTATGATAAGCTCCAGAGCTGATGCAAGGGAAGGAAATTACCTGAGCAGCTGCCAGTTGATGCTTTGCATAGCAGCCTGCAAGAGGAGCACCTAAAAGAGATGTTGTTGACTGACTGATTACAATTAACTCCTCTTAGAAGTTAGTATTAAATATTCAGAACACTCATTCACCTAGGGGAAGTTCAAGGACTTCTATAAGGTTTGTATGCTTTTTCCAGATTCATAAATTCAGGCAGATGCTCTCTTAAAATGTATTTAGTTTAGCTTGCTGAAGTTAGATATATAGTTTCTCAGCATTCACTACACTTTCTTCCCAGCAAAAGTCTATGCTTCCATAGATTTACTAAAGCCACCTCTATAGCTTAGGGTTCTAATTTTACTATTAATATTACTATTAACTATTTACTAGTGACTATTTCTTGGAGACTCCTTGTCTGATGGGCACAAAGGGTTTTATGCAAAGGAAGATGCAAGTGATTATAAAAAGTAAGTATAGAGTACAAAAGACAGAGATCAAACAGAATTACTTAGAACTTACAGTTGTATTTGGAGAGATGACAAGGAGAAGCACAGGGTCTTCTTACATGGGCCTGACAAAATTGTTGCTATTGTCATTTTTTAAAAGATACTACTGTTTTTATGTTTTTATGTTCTGGAAGATCATACATTGAGTTCTCAGAGATCTGGAAATTGGGCCTGGCATGAGAAAAAAAACAGGTTGATCATTCTCTCCTTTGTACAATGAAAGAACTAAGAGATGACAAATAGACTTTTTCTGACACAGCTCCTGGTTAGACTGTGGAACCTCTTGCCACAGGAAAGAATAGATACTGGTTCAAGATGGGAATGGACAAGTTAAGGGACATAACTGAGGGCTGCCAAATGAACCCTCAGTTATCATACCTGACTCAAAGTTCTGGAGTCCTGGAAAAGGACTCTGGGGAAGCCTCATACATTCTTGTTCTGCTCTTCTCCCTCAGCATCTGCCTTGGGCCACTGTGACAGGATAGGGCAGGTGCCTCCATTCCCAAATTAAGCCTGGCTGGAAGGGAAACATCATGGGGTCACCAGCCTGCACAGCTTTTGGGAATCAAGTCCAGAGCTTACAAACAAATTTAAATACATTTTTTAAAGCCTACCCTAAGTAGCATGGCAGGCAGGATACATCTGGTAATACTTTATCGGTAGAAAAACCTACAAATTATGTCATATTATGCTTTATTATTATTATTATTATGACTCACTGCACAGAAAATATCATAAAAAATACAGCAGTCTTGCACATCCAATAATGCAATCAGTGCTATTATAAATTAAACTACAAAGTAACAATTACACACAGTCCTGGAAACTGAAGTCACCTCATAAGTAGAGTAATGTTTTGTCTTCAGTAACAGTGAAGCAGGTAACTGTGTAATTTTAATAAAAGTCATCACTTTAAAACAAAAAAGCTGTAGTGAAACACGATAAAAATTAGCAAGATAAGACACTGAGCAAACAGCATTAAAATGATGTACATTTCAATGTAAATCATCCAACCTTTTCCTATGGTATAGATGAAATAGAAATAATTTAGCTTGCTTGCCAATCTATCCTGAAAGCCATCTTTGACAGTTTAAATAGTAGTTTTGGTACTAAGCATAAAGAAAATCTGCATGTGAAGAAAAAACACAAAACAAAAAAAAAAAACAAAACAAACAAAAAAAAAACCACGAAAAATATCTTAGAAATACAAGGGATGTAGAAAATAACAGTGAAAAAAACATCTACACTATAAAAGACAATACTGCAGAGTGAGATTTTCCGAAACATTCATTGAAGCATTGATACTAGTTCTTTGAAAAGGCATGACAAAAACCTGCATATGTTAAGGCCTAAAAATAAGTCATTTCAGAGGGAAGATGCACATGTGATCTGTGGCTTTTACAAGGAAAAAACAGCTATGCTAATAATAGCAATTCTCTTCTCAGAGGTCTGTTATTTTAAATATACACAAATTAAGTAGTGGTTTTGTTTACAGCAGCATTGGGTTTTGGAGCATTATGTTAAGTCATAACCACATGAGTCCATCCCATACAGACCCAATAGCATAAGGGCCGCAAGAATGAAATGAGCAAGCTCCTCTCATCTTTTCCAACTCTCCCAAATAGTCACAACAGTAGAACACAAGAGGAGGCGGCTGTGGGAATTTTCTTACAGAAGAGAGCCCAACTAAGAAAATTAGATCCTTATCCAAGATCATGCATATATATGCACTTAAATTCTAGCTTGAATTAATTTTAGCATTTGCATATGAGATTTACCAAACCAAAGCTGGGATTGGGAACCAAGGAAAATAGATGAGCTTTGGCAACAGATGGGCTCCCCAGCAGAAACAGGCTGCTCCAGGAAGCAAATGGGGGAAGAAATAAGGTGTCAAGAGAAAAGAGGACAGGGCAGGCCAAGTGCTTGAAGAACGGGAAAGAAAAAAAAACAGGAGATTATAAAGCATTTCAACTTGAAAGAAGAAAAAAAGAGACCATTAAAGATTTTTAAAAAGGGAACAGGTTTGCATTTGAGTATGAAATGGATAACAAACTGGGAATTATCCCTGGAAATGTAATAGAAACTTTCATTTTCAAGAAGAAAAGGAAAACGCCTATCACTAGCATCTGAATAAAAATTAACTCTCCCAATTTAAGAGACAGGAAAGATGGAATGCCTA